GGAGCCATCAGTTTCCATCCAGCAAAAGCAAAACTATTTCATCACTCTAAAGCAAAGCAGTAAAAAGACGTTAAAAATCACATTTATAGTCTAGAAAGGGTGGTGGTGTTAAAATGAATCAGTGTACAGCCAAATGATAAATAAAACATATAAGTCTAAAGCAAAAAAAAGTGATGCTTAAAATTGAGGTGCATTCACTGTGTGGAAAAATGGAGATGGGGATTTTAAAAAATATATAAAATCTTGTTCCAGGCCCAGTTTTTACTTCTCAATAAACAGTTTACAACACTTCAAAAAATCCCTGGATTATTTTTTATACCCATGCGCTAAATGGACATATTCCTTTTCATATCATCTTTGATACTTTCAATTTTTAGGGCACACACATCATTCCCTTGCTGACTTCTGTGCTCCATGATGAATCCCAGTGGGAGAAACCGCATGGATTCTATCCTGAGCATTTTCTTGACTCGGAAGGAAAATTTGTGAAGAGGGATGCATTCATGCCATTTTCTGCAGGTGAGATTCTCTGGTGTCCTAGTTTATGTTCTATAAAAAGGCAACCCTTAACATCTTGTTTGAAAAAAAAAACTGATAAAAGCTTGATCTCAGAGACCTTATTTTGACAGAGTTTAGGCCTCATGGACAACATATGTGGCCAGACTCACTGACAGACTAGTATGTTGATTCCAGAGTCTGCCAGCGGAATCCTCAGCTCTGGGCATGAGTTACTGTTATTCCTGCTACGCTTAATACCACCATCCTTTTGGCAGTCCAGGGTGAATCTTGTCTTTCAGCCTTTCTGGCTGGTTGGAGCCTTCAGACAAACACAGGCTTTGGGTCTTTTTAGCTTGAAGCTTTTATTAGCATTTCTTAAGCTTTTAGTCAGAAGACATAGCAATGTGACAGAGCACAAAATGTCCCATCCCCCTGTTGTATATAGACATTTGCATACTCATAATACTACATTCTGATTGGTCAATCACTACTGCCTAGCGATTGGTGGTTAACAACAGATTATGATTGGCCGCCCAAACGGCAGGAGGTTTAAAATAATGCCATTGGTTGCGAGCCACGAGCAGCCGCTATAAAAGAGGCTGCCGCGGCTCAAGTTTAGTTGAAGTTACTGACAGTTAAATAAAGAGCTGAACTCAATTCCGGTCTCAAGTCTATCTTGTTCTGGCGATAGAACATTGGCAATGAGGATGGGATTGAGAGGACAAAGACCGTAAGCATGTGACAAAGAGAACCAAGAAGTCAAAGAGATGGCCAGAAACAATTTGCCACCTGCACCATTCAACCCAGCCGAAGACGACTGGGAATCATATATCGACACGTTCCTGATGTTCCTAGAGAGTAACGAACTACAAGGAATAATGGACCAAAGGAAGAGAGCCGTATTTTTGACACATTGTGGACCCACCATTTTTAAAATGGCCAAAGCATTGGTAAAACTGCATGATGTCAAACAGGTGGCATGGCCGGACCTGAACTGGATGCTGAGAGCCCATTACATGCCTGTTGTTTCCAATCTTATTCAAAGACACGAATTTTATAAACAGGATCAACAAGAAGGCGAAAGTATCGGGGATTTCATAGCAGCACTAAGGGACATTGGAGAAGCATGCAAATTCCTCAACATGGACGAAGCCATGAGAGACCCTGTGGTCCTTGGGATGAGAGACACTACCCTCCAAAGCAAACTACTAAATCGACCCAACATCACCATAAATGAAGCCATCGCTGAGGCAACTGCGGCTGAAGCAGCAAAAAAATCTGCGACAAAAATGAAGCAAATGAATATGGCCAACAGCCCAAGCCAGAGCAGAGAAAAGAAAGTGGAAGGTACCCAGAAACACACTACCGCAACCACCCATCATGAAGACATCGAGTCAGCAACCGACTCTGAGGACGAAGAAGAAGAGGTACATAGGCTCCAGTCAGAATGGAACCAGTGAGAAAAAAGAGGAAGGAAACTTGGTTTTCAGTGTGCCGGATGTGGAGGAAATCACCCCCGTTCTGAGTACCGTTTTTTGGATGCCATCTGCAGACACTGAAAAACGGGGGCACATTACAAGGGTCTGCCGAAACAAAAAGAGCTGTAGTCCAAAAAGATGAGGCAGCCCCCCCCCCCAGAACTAAGGAGAAGAAAACCGGAAGTCATTGGAGCCGGGAAAATAGAAGTCAGCAGCTCAACGAGAAGGAAGAAACACACCAGACAATTATCATTGGGAATGCCAGAGCAACTGATGTTAAGAAGGTTCGAATAAACGTCAAAATAGAGGGAGAGCCATGTGAAATGGAAGTGGACTCCAGCTCGTATCTGTCAATGGTATCATGGAACACAATAAAAAGCTTCATACCAGACATACGACGAAAAGAACTCAAAGAGCAAAGCCTGACATTAAAAGACTACCAAGGAAACAAGATTCCGATAGTTGGACTGGGACATTTCAAGGTAAAATTCAAGAAACACACTGAAGTTCTCCCATTGACCATCGTCGACCGAGACCACCCCAGCCTGCTTGGTTTAGAAGGGTTCATGCCTTTGGGGATCAAAGTGACAGGAATCAACAGCGTCACCGAGACAGACTGGGAAGAAAGCCTGATGAAGGAGTTCCAGGATGTATTCGACGGGATGCTAGGAAAGTACCGTGGGACCCCTATCTCATTTAGCCTAAACCCAAACATAGCCCCCATCCGGCTAAAGGCCAGACGCGTCCCCTTTGTGTTAAAGCCAAAAATCGATGAGCAGCTAAACAAACTCATCACACAAGAGTGTTAGAGCCAATCGACCATGCAAGATGGGAAACCCTGATTGTGACTCCCGTGAAACCAGATGGGTCCGTGCACATCTGTGGTGACTATAAGGCTACCCTGAACCATGCGTTACAGCAGAGCACATATCCCGTTCCAGTAGTCCAGCACCTCTTGCACTCATTGGGGGGAGGAAAAGTTTTTGCAAAGCTCGATCTCGCACAGGCATATCAACAATTGCCGGTTGATTCCGAGACGGCAGAGACACAGATTATTGTAACACATAGAGGGGCATTTAAATACAACAGATTGCAATTTGGTGTCAGCATGGCCCCCGGCATGATGGAATGCCTCCTCCAAGCACTAAAAGGGGTGGTTCCCTATTTTGATGATGTATTGATATCAGCTGGGAATAAAAATCAACTAAAGGACTGGCTAAGGGCTGTCTTGCAAAGGTTTAGTGAAGCAGAACTCAAGGTCAAAAAAGAAAATGCCAACTTACCACAAATCAGATCGAGTTCCTAGGATATCTTATTGATGAAGCAGGAATCCACCCCACCGAAAAAAAAATACGAGCAATAAAAAAAGCACCCAGACCCAAAAACAAAACAGACTTGCAGGCATTCTTGGGACTCATTAATTTTTATAATGTCTTTTTGCCACAGAAGGCAACAATAGCAGAACCACTGCATAGACTATTTTATAAAAAAGCCACCTGACAATGGGGCCGACAAGAAGAAGCTGCATTCCAAAGAATTAAAGACTTGATAACATCCAAATCTGTATTAATCCAATACAGAGACACGCTACCACTCACTGTCACCTGCGATGCTTCACCATTCAGCGTAGGTGCAATACTTAGCCACATACTACCTGATGGCAGAGAGGCACCGATCACCTTTTATTCCAAAACGCTGTCAAAAGCCGAAAGAAACTATAGCCAACTTAACAGAGAAGCCTTGGCCGCTATCTCGGGGGTAAAATGTTTTCACAAATACCTTTATGGTAGGACATTTTCCTTAATTACCGACCACAAGCCACTGTTAGGAATCCTGGCAGGAGACAGAGCCACCCCACACATCCTTTCTCCGAGGATGACAAGATGATCAGAATTTCTTGCAGCCTACAACTACAAGCTCATCTATCAACCAGGAAAAGCCATACCCCATGCCGACGCACTGAGCCGCTCACCTCTACCAGACCACGACGACAACCCAGCTCCCACCACACACACCCTGCAAATTGAAACAATATCGAACCTGCCCATCACTGCATCAGGCATCGCAAGGGAAACTCCAAAAGACATACTAATGGCCCGACTCCTGAACTGGGTAGGGAGGGACTGGCCGAAAATGACAAAAATGAGATGTTTAAACTGTTCAGAACCCAGAAAACTGAGCTGTCAATTGAGAAAGGATGTGTATTGTGGGGGGATAGGGTTGTTGTTCCAAGGAAATTACAGGAGGACGTGCTGAACATGCTACATGAGGGACACCCGGGCATGGTAAAAATGAAGTCCCTGGCCAGAAGCTATGTCTGGTGGCCAGGAATAGATAAAGACATTGAAACATGGGTAAAAACATGTAATAAATGCCAGACGTCCAGACCTACCCCCCCTTTAGCACCGGTCCTTGACTGGGAGGCACCCAGAGGCCCCTGGTCAAGGATCCACATAGACTTCACCAGACCCACAAAGGGATATACATTTTTAATCATAATCAATGCCTACTCAAACTGGTTGGAGGTCAGCATCATGAGTTCAACAATGACTGAAGCCATCACTAAACAACTAAAGAAACTTTTCGCCACTCATGAATTACCAGACGTGTTAGTCTCAGACAATGGCCCACAGTTCACAGCTTTAGCTTTTGAACAATTCCTTGCAGAACAGGGCATACGACATGCCCTGGCAGTGCCAGCTCACCTGGCGTCAAACGGACGGGCGGAACAACCCCCAAAAGCCACCAGACTCCTCCAGTAAGTACCGCACATTTATACCAGGTGACCTGGTATATGCGAAAAATCTTACTGGAGACCCATTGTGGTTACCGGCCACGATAACACAAATAACAGGCCCCTGGCTGTACCGATTGGAAATGATGGACGGCAGAACCTGGAAAAGGCACATAGACCAACTACCATCTCGAAACCTCGAACGCAACACCGACACACCCCGAAACATAGAGCAAACTCATTCAAAAAAGCCAATAATTAATAATAAAACCAGACAGTGGGGGGGAACCCTTAAATAATAAAGAAAAAGAAGACCCTCCTTTAACACAATTATAAACAGCCCACCAACCAGCTACAGAAAGCCCAAGAACAAATAAAAACTACTTACCAACAGGCGAGTTCGAAAGAAGGGATCTGGAGGAGAACCAGGGAAGAAGCCCCCGAGCCGACTCCACCTGACTGAGTATGCCAGAAGGGAGCGGCAAAGCCCCCTCAACCAACCTAACAAAGCATGGCGGGAGCGGCATGGCTGACTCACCCTTCCAGGAGGTTCCTGAGAGAAGGACAGGAGAAACATCAATCCCGTCTGAACCGATTGAAGACAACACAGAGACTGAACTGCGCAGGTTAAGTAGGACCCACAAAAGCCCCACCTATTTGCGTGACTACATCACATAAAGTTGGACCATACCCAGAGGGGAGGGGTGTTTTATATAGACATTTGCATACTTGTAATACTACGTTCTGATTGGTCAATCACTACCACCTAGCAATTGGTGGTTAACAACAGATTATGATTGGCCGCCCAAACGGCGGGAGGTTTAAAAAAAAATGCCATTGGTTGCGAGTCACAAGCAGCCGCTATAAAAGAGGCTGCCATGGCTCGAGTTTAGTTGAAGTTACTGACAGTTAAATAAAGAGCTGAATTCAACTCTGGTCTCGAGTCTATCTTGTTCCAGCAATAGAATACCCCCCAAGCTGAAACCGATCCTGTGAAAAGAGTAATGCTGAGAAGAGGGTTTTTTTCAGTTTGGACTCCAAACTTCCTGGTCCATGCAGCCCCATTTCTGTGATGCTTCAGACCACAGCTAAATGCAGCTGCAAACTTTGCAATCTGCTTGATGGGCCAGGATTTGAATGCAATTCAAAATGAACCTTTTTATCCCACCTGATTGCTTCCCAAAGCTGCCCTTGTTTTCAGAGCAAGACACCCTCCAACATTAAGCAAAGTTGTAGGGTGGTGGTGGCTTCTGTTGACACCCCACCCCCTGCCCTTGTCTCCTTTCCATTGCTTTCAACTCCACTCCCCACCTGTCATTGCCCCCACTTGGACAGCCTGCTCGCTCACCCGTCCAGCTTTCCATCCAGCTTTCCATCCAGCACCTGCAGTGAATTATCCCCACAGCAAATTTCTGGTGTTGAGATATCTAGCAAAGAGATGGCAGCAGTGAGTTGATGGTGGTGAGAAGGCTGCCTCCAGCTGGCTGTGTTGAGGTAGCAGTATCAAGTCATCCTAGACCCTTTTGATCATGTGACTGTGAGGAACCTGCAATGGTAGTAAGTGTGAAAAATGCTCATAATTTCACTTTTTTCAGTGCCATTGTAACTTCAACATTCTACTAAATGAACTTTTGTATATTAAAAATTACTTGTAATGGTACCAGAGTAAAAATATAGGTGACTGTATAGGATATTTAATAGCATCCTTTTTATTATTATTATTCTTAAAGAAAATTTTTATTTTTTAAGACAAAACATATACAGACAAAACATAAAAAGATAAAACCATCTTCCAGTTATATACATACACTTCTTTTGTGCTATCCTTTCATAGTCCTTACTCACAGGTTGTATAGCTTCTCAAATTGTCAATCTAACATATATATTTATCAATTATTTATCATTCATTTGACAAAACTATTGTTCCATCATTTTATATGAGATATTCTAGATTTTATTATAAATTTATATGATACATTCATTCAATGGTTATATAGTTTTGTATATTATTCTATCTCAATCTATTAGTCTTCTATTATGAAATTTCCTAGTCTATTTCATTACCATGTCTTTTTATCTAACCATTGATAAAATAAATCCCATATCATATAAAATTGTTTATCTTCTTGTTCTCTAATTTCAAATGACAATTTACTCATTTCAGCACAGTCCATAGTTTTCTTAATAACTTCCTCCTGCATAGGTATTTTTTTCGTTTTTCCAATTCTTAGCAAATACAATTCAAGCCACTGTTAAAACATTTATACAATCAAATGTTTCAATTTTTTATTGTATATTTTCGGTATAATTTCCAATAAAAATATCTCTAGTTTAAAGTCTATGTGTTGTTTTATCATTTTTTCCAGCCATGTGTAGATTTTAGTCCAATATCTTTTCGCATCCAGACATGTCCACCACATATGGTAATATGAACCACGTATCTCATAATTATCTGCAGTGTCACTTCCTTCTCCTTCTCCTGTTCCAACATCATCTGTATTGTTCATTGTCCTCCAGATGATAAAGAGGAGGAAATTGGTATTAAGGAAGCTGAGGCTGCTGTCTTTCTACTCATCTTGTAATGCTTGATAAAAAGAGGAGGGGGCGGAAAAACAAGCAGATAACTACCGCCCCAATAAAAAGAAAAAGAAAAAAATAAAAGGGGGAAGGGGAAAAAATCATCAGGCACTTGTATACCTTAATCCAATTGGTGCCAATTATATAAAAAAAGGAAAAAAATGTAAAAAGAAGAAAGAGTGGGGGGAAAAAGGAAATTTTAAAAAATAGAAATCTGTATATTTCCCTTAATTAAAAAGGTAAGGAAAAACAAGAGGAGAGAGAAAAAATATACTCTAATTCCTGAATCAAAACGCTAATGTCCAAGCATAAAAATCCAGCTGGAGGGGAAGTAAAAAAAAAAAAGGATAACAAGCAGTTCTGTCAGAAAGCAAACCACTGCCACTAAATGTCCAAGGCTCTTTGATAAATCAAACCGGAATTTCCAGTCTTCTTTGCAAGGTCACTTCAATCTTCTTTCTTTCAATTTCAACTCCAGACTCTGGCTATCAGTAGTTTCACAGAGGAGCACCTGTATAAACAATCTACCATGCTCATCCCATTATCTTTTCAGTAAAAAGCTCAGAGTCCTTGAATGTAACGCCAATGTATAAACAAGTAAAAAAAAAACCAATGTATCCAAGCCTCTAGATGGCAGTGTTACTTATCTCCCTTCACTTCCCCTCATATATCCAAAGCCAGGAATAGATTAAAAAAAAGTAAAGTCGTTAGAAAAAAAATAAACCTCAAATGAAAAATCTAAAAAAAAAAATTCTAATAAAAAGAGACTTTCAGAGAAGTTATTTAACAAATGAAAATTAGAGAAAAAGACCAGTCCAGTTTAAAATTGAGAAGCTTTTGCCAGATTCCAGGTTCCAATAAAAATGGGAAAAAAACCCTACAGTTTAATTTAAGCTTAACCTCACTGCTTGACCTCTTTTATCTTCAGTTTTAATTTCACTTTAAGTCTTTTAGGGTGTTCTCTCCAATTTCTACAGTAAGTAGAAATTTATCTCACCAAACTGACACACTTTCTTTCCAGCTTTCATCTCTTCCGGAGCTGTCTCAGCTTCAGCAGCTCAAATGGCTGCCTCTCCACCGCCAGAAAATAAGGGCTTCTCCTGGATCTACCAGGGACTTTGCAATGTCCCTGGGATCGACAGGATGTGCCCTTCTCTGTCACCATCTCTATGGAATAGTTTAAGTCCGATGGGACCATCCAGCCACGGAGATATCGGCAGTGATCTTGGAACCTCAAGATCATGCATCATACCACCACGACGCCAGCTCCACCCTCCCAGTATAGGTGACTGTACCATAATAGGATTTTTAATAGCATCCTTTTTAAGAAGACTTTCTCTGAAGTTTTCTCTATTCCAAGAACTAAATTCCCCTCCACCCCAAAGAGCAGACAATTAGATAAACAGAAGGGAACACCTTGCTCTACAATATGTTAATTGCCCTCCTCTGGAATCTGCTTGCCCTCAGAAGTTGTGGGAGCATCATCACTTAAGACTCTCAAGAAGAGATTGGACTGCCATTTGTCAGAAATGGTGTAGGGTCACCCGCTTGGGCAGGGGGTTGGACTAGAAGACCTACAAGATCCCTTCCAACTCTGATTATCTATTATCTAGATGACAAACTTAAGTCTACACCTGTTTTCCATCTGCAGGACCAATGAAATGTGATATCTAGATAGTTAAAAGAGGGGCATTACTTCATTTATTGGCATTGATCTCCCATTTTTTTGACATTATCTTCAAATTCAGAAATCTGCTGCCATTTAATAGTTTTCAAAATGCAGGAAGTCCTCAACTTACAACCACAACTGAGCCCAAAATTTCTGTTGCTTAGCAAGACAGTTTTTAAGAGACTTTTGTTCCATTTTACAATCTTTTTTGTCACAGTTGTTAAGTGAATCATTGCAGCAGTTAAGATAACAACATGGTTATTAAATGAATCTGGCTTCCTCATTGACGTTGCTTGTCAGAAGGCCACAAAAAGTGATCACATTAAACTATCATTAATATGAATCAGTTCAGTGGTGGGATTCAAAAATTTTTACTACCAGTTCTGTGGGCATGGCTTGTTGGGCATGGCTTGGTGGGCGTGGCAGGGAAAGGATACTATAAAATCTCCATTCCCACCCCACTCCTGCAGGAGGGCTACTGCAAAATCCCAATTGCCTCCCCAACCCACTAAGCTGCTTTCCAGCTCCATTCTCCTGTGCAGGGCAACAAAAGAAGACCCAACCGATCAGCTGGGGCTCCGGAGGCAGAGAATAGATGGAGCAGGGCCAGTCAGAGGTGGTATTCGGAACTACTCAAAATTTCCGCTACTGGTTCTTCGAACTGCTCAAAATTCCCACTACCAGTTCTCCAGAACTGGTCAGAATCTGCTGAATACCACCTCTGAATCAGTTGCCAAGCATCTGAATTTTGATCTCATAATCATGAGGATGGTCATAAGCCACTTTTTTTCAGTGCTGTAACTTTGAATGGTTATTGAGCAAACCATTGTAAGTCAAAGACTGTCTCCATTTCTTTAATACATTTTTACTTCTATCAATATCTTTGACCTGCCATTATTTACCTATGTGCTGATCTCTCCATGGCCACATTGAGAAAACCTGTGAAATAGGTTTTTTTTACAAAAAAATAAAAATAAACCCTCATTGTTTTTGCCATCTATGCTTTCTTCCAGGTCGAAGAATATGTGCAGGCGAGACCCTTGCCAAAATGGAGCTCTTCCTCTTCTTTACCAGCCTCCTGCAGAAATTTACCTTCCATCCACCCCCAGGAATATCCAAAGATGACCTGGACCTCACCCCTAGTGTTGGACTTAGCACCCCTCCCATGCCTTACAAGACCTGTGCTGTGTTACGCTGATCCAACAATATATACCAAGGGTATCAGAAACAATTTCATTGTGGGCTGCCTCAGAGTTTTGTTTGACCTCGGGGGCTAAGGTGGGCATGGTCAGGGTGGGTATGGCCATCTTTTTTTTTTTTTTTGAAAATTTTATTGATTTTTAAAAACAAACATAAACAAACAAAACATAAAACATAGAAACATAAAACATCTTTTTTGAAAGCAGCCTGATCCCGGGTTACATCTCTTCGTACAGACACAAATTCAAGTTCATGCTCATTTTTATATTCCATTCCATATTTTATTACCGTCCTGTGTTTTCTATATAACTTTACCCCTCTTTCAATTTTCTTGATTTTATTTATTTCATCTCAATTTGAATCATGATACTTATATTCTTTGTCTGTCCTGTTTCAGCTGTCTATTATCTTTTCTCATTAAGCAAAATTTATCCTGTGATCGCTGATTGGAATATGACGCCTTTATATCTTTCCCCTAAAATTATAACACTTAATATAATAAACAATTTCCGTTCGGATTCTGCTTGGTACATTCTAAAACTACAAAATGTATTTTAAAAAAAGAAAAAAATTATAAATATATAACATAATTAAAACAACAATCCATACCAATTCAAATCTATCATTAATATTAATATTCATTGAAATCTTAAACATTTTACACATTACTTTTCAAATAAGTATCATACTTCTATGGGAGCACTTATAAACTTTCCATAATTACTTCCCCCCCACTTCACATATTTTATAAAACCTTGAGTAGTTAAAATGTTCCCATTCCTTCCTAGTTCAATTCTCTCATTTCATTTCATTTATTTTGTTCAAAAAAGTTTCACTAAATTACACTGACTATATTATTCCACTTTTCAATCATATGTTGTTCCCAATTTTCTAACATTATTTCTATTACAAATATAACAATACAATCTTATATACCTTTACAGAATCCCTTTTTCAGTTAAATTTTCACCCATTATCTCTAAATAAGTCCTGTTTCTTTACATCTTGCTCCAGACCTTTGCAACTTCTCTTCCCTTCCTTCTTCTTCTCTCTCCCCTTTTTACCCCCCTGTCTCTCCACCTCCATTTCCCTCTTATGTATTCCCCTTTTCTGTTGCTTTCGAACATTATATCCACTTTTCACATTATTTTTCCCTTTTTTGGCTGTTTTTTTTTTATCTTAAATTCTCCATTCCCTTTCCCCACTTTTCTTACCCAGATAGAGTTACTTGTTCATTAAAAATGGCTTCTTCTTTGTCCCAATCTTCTTGTTGCGCAGTCTTTTCTTGTTGTTTCTTGTAAACACCAATTGCCATTTCTAAGAATTGAAAAATGGAGCCAAAGGAACCCTTCCCTTCTTGTTCCTCTTCTTTATATTTTTTAAATTCGATTTTCAGTTGATCCAGAAGTGATGCCATTGTAAAGTGTTTTTTATAAACAACCACCCAATTGTTTTTAGTCATTCAAATATAATTTCCAAAAATCCCCAAGTCACCAAACAATCCAAATACACACAAGCTGTTTCTTTTAACACTTTCTTCTTTTTTCACTTTCTCTTCTTGGGGTTACTATTTAGTGGCAAAGTTCCAGTTAAAATGTATCTTTCAGAAGTCTTGTTAAGATTTAACCTTAAATTCTTTTAAATTCCAAGCAGTCTCCTCCTTCCAAGTCCTGCTCTTATTCTTTTCCTCTCCCTTCCCACTTATAGCAAAAAAAGGATTTTTTAATATTCAGAAATCTTTATTGTCCCTTTGCTATTTAATTATATTTCCAGTTTAATTACCTCTTGGTGCCAAAGTGGATTTTTCTGATTTCTTTATTCAGCTCTTCTCATTGTCAACATGGGGAAGGAGAGTGAAGAAAAAAAAACTTTCCCTTTTCACTTTTGTTCGCTGCTTCTGACTCTTCTTTGGGAGCGGTGTTATCTTTTGTAAAATTTAAATTCCAGGATACCTTAGTTGTTGCTTTTTGTCATGGTCAGCCAAAAACTTTCACTTCTTAACTTCCTCCTGCACTTTCTTTTCCGGTTGAGTGCTTCTTTGAGGTGGCCATTTCTGACCGCCGCTCTTACCGCCTTCAGGAAAGGGAGTTTAGCCAGCTGAGGAGGAGGGATGCAGCTCCCCTCGACCCTGCTGGGTCTCCCCGTCTTCACCACCTCTACGGGGTGGCTTAGCCCTGAAGCCAGCTGGCTCGGGGCGCTCCAGCAGCGAGCCCAGGCAGAAACTGTGCATGATCGTGGATTCCTACCTGCTGCCGAAGAGGGTGGGTATGGCCATCTTGACATCACTTGTGTTGGGGGCTCTTGTGGTGGCCCAAGCACCCTGCCAACAAAAATGGAGTCCGAGTAAGCCACGCATGTCTCCCAAGGCCCATTTTTGGCCATGACAGCCTCCTGCAGGCCTCTGTCACAGAGGGCTGATCTGGCAGAGGACTGCAGGAGGCAGTTGCAGTCAAAAATGGGACCTGAGAGTGCACAGCCCTCCCGAGTCCATTTTTGCTGGCAGGGGCACTGCAGGCCGATCCTCTGCTGTTTCCAGATGGCCCCAAAGGCCAATCCTAAGCACCCTGTGGGCCAGATCTGGCCCCCAGGCCTTGAGTTTGACACCCTTGATATATACATTACTTATACTTGATATATACATACATTATATTACAATATATGGATTAGTAATCAATATATCTATATCTAGGCAAAATTTAACAACAGAGTTCAATATTGTCTATATTTCATGTACTGTTTAGAAGATAATGGAAATAATCTATAATTTCATAAAATGTAGATTCTGATAAGGGAAGAATAGTAGGGAAATCATGAAAAGCAAAGTGTTTTTCCAGTGGTCATTTATTTCCTTTCCTTTTTACTATTTTACTATTTTTGTCTTTAATTTTTGTCTCTTGGTTTCATTAAGAAATGTAATTTTAATTACATTTTAAAAAACAGTATTATTTTTCTGTAATTGTCCTTATTGCAATTTATGTATTTGCTTGTACATCACCCAGAGTCCCTCTAAAATGGTCATGGACAGCTTTAAAAATTTAGTCAATAAATAATATTCAACTGAATATTTATATTAAATTATATTCTTTTTTTACAAAATATAAGAATTTAGCTGTGACAGAAGTAGTAATGATAATTATGATTAAAATATTTGCTTTAAACCTGTTAGCATAATCAGGAAATTCTGACCAAAATATTAATTTGGATAACATATGAGCAACTTTCAAGAAGTAGAACTGAGTGCTAATGACCAGATGACTTCAAGCAATACAAATTCTTTCATCCTCCATCATTCAATCAGAATTGAAGAAACTTCTTGGACAAGAAGCAAAACACCTTCAAGGAAATATAAAGTCCAATTGCCTTTTGAAAAAGTACCTTTGGGACAACCATGACCTAGATGTCTTAGAATCTCCATGGACAAATGAGATTCAGCAACATTCAAGAATTTCCTTTTTCTTAGAAATAAGCTTTACTTTCTTTGCTATTTAATAGGAGGAATTGCCCAACTTGTCAAAAAACCATATTAGCCCATCTCATTATATAATGTAGATAGTAAAGTTACTTCCATGGCCCCAGGTTTCTTGCTGATTCCAAATCAGCCAGTTTGGTGTGTAGAATGGCATACATTATTGGGAATTGACTGGGGGTCTATGTTGTGGGAGGAGAGGAAGTCATAGTAAAGTGTCCACCTGGGTTGATATTCCAGTGCAAGGTATGTGTGTAACTGTTGCTATGCTACAGATAGCTCAAGATTTCATGGCCACTGTGGCAACCTTGGACCTTTGATTGTTTCATGTACAATGATAAG